AACCCACCTAAGAAATAAAAACCCAAACAAAAAGCTGAACAAGAATTATCAAGCAACCAATGCTAGACAACCCCTCCCCCCTTTCAAAACCTAAACTTCTCACTGTACAGAACCATAAATTCTAATATTAACCTGAACTAAAAACACTTTCTTAATAGTTTCAACAGGACCATAGACACAATAACCAGACACAAAATCTTTATGAAATTCCTCATGTCTGGCTAAATTTCTACAAAAATCAGTGTACATGAAAAGGCCTAAAATCTGAGTGTACATGATAAGGCCTAAAATCTGGAACTCCCTGCCCGAAAACTTTTCAAACCGCAGACTCAATCACCATTTTCGAAAGTCCCGTTAAAAAAACACCTTATCTCCTTAACACACCCCATCTTCAGCTAATTATGTAAAAACCACCTGTCCTCTTTTTTTGTTTTGTGAACACATCCAAAATAAAATAGATTTGCTCTCGTTATCTGTAATTCTCCCTTTTTTACACTAAACACTCACCCAAATGACTGTAAACATAAAATTCCTAATATAGTTTTGCCTAATAAATCTTAGGTTAGTTCTAAGTTTGCTTAAAATACTCTCCCAACATGGGGAGCTTCTATAGAAACGGCGTATCATGCCGAAATAAACCAGCCCCATTACTTTTATTTACTAAATGTAATATTGTTATTGTTTTGTAGTCTCACTATTATCAGTCTGTTACCTAACTTTACATCAGTATGCAATGATGTACAGTGGTACCTTGACTTACGAGTTTAATCCATTCCGTGACCAAAGCTCGTAACTCAAATTGCTTGTAGTATATCAAAAAATTTTCCTCATTGAAATTATAGAAATGCCATTAATTCATTCCAGCAGAATTCCTGGTTTTATAAAGTGTACGTATTTACTTTGGAGAGCAGATGCTGGCAGAGGTGGAGGTGAAGGGTGGAAAGTTTGGGCTACTTGCTACACTTAATGCTACACTTTATCGTGAATTAATTTGCTGCACTTTTAATGCTACACTTTATTGCTGAACTTAATTGCTATGCCTTAATACTACATTTTACACTTGGCTGGTGCTCTGCCTTTATAGACGACTCCCTGCTTTTAGTATTGTACATATTTTTAGAAGTGCTACGCTGGAACTGCCTGGCCAGGTCCACAACCGCACACCTCGCTCATGGGGTCTTTGTAATTAATATTTTATATGTGAACCAACACATTGTAAGCTTTACAAGGAAATTTATATGTAATTCTTGTACACAATTTGAATTTATTTTGTGGGTTGGTAGACAGCAACCACCCAGGGAAGTACTACTGTCCTGCCAGATGACTGTGAAACGGGAAACCTGTACTGTTTTGCATAATGGTAGGATTGCTGGTGTCTTTTCTGTTCATAAACACGCAAGATAACAGGGATATCTTGCTACTCTATTTTTAACCCCTTTGGTCCCCACTTCACAGACACGCACATGCATATATATATACATACATCTAGGTTTTTCTCCTTTTTCTAAATAGCTCTTGTTTTCTTTATTTCTTCTATTGTCTAGGGGGAAGTGGAAAAGAATCTTTCCTCCGTAAGCCATGCGTGTCATATGAGGCGACTAAAAGCCGGGAGCAATGGGCTAGTAACCCCTTCTCCTGTAGACATTTACTAAAAAAGAGAAGAAGAAAAACTTTATAAAACTGGGATGCTTGAATGTGCGTGGATGTAGTGCGGATGACAAGAAACAGATGATTGCTGATGTTAGAATGAAAAGAAGTTGGATGTCCTGGCCCTAAGCGAAACAAGCTGAAGGGGTTAGGGAGTTTCGGGGGGGAGAAATAAATGGGATTAAATCTGGAGTATCGAGAGAGTTAGAGCAAAGGAAGGGGTAGCAGTAATGTTGAAGGATCAGTTATGGAAGGAGAAAAGAAAATATGAATGTGTAAATTCAAGAATTCAAGAGTTTGGGAAGCTGTGATTTCGTGTATAGGGCAAGGAGGAATAACATCTTGTAGGAGTGAGGAAAGAGCCAGTTGTGAGTGTGGGGGAAGTTCGTGGGGCAGTAGGTAAAATGAAAGGGGGAAAGGGCAGCCGGGATTGATGGGATAAAGTGAAATGTTAAAAGCAGGTGGGGTATAGTTTTGGAGTGGTTGGTGCAATTATTTAATAAATGTAGGAAAAGGGGTAAGGTACCTAGGGGTTGGCAGAGGCAGCATAGTTTCCTTTGTATGAGGCAAAGGGGACAAAGAGAGTGCAAAAATTATGGGGGGATAAGTCTGTTGAGTATACCTGGTAAAGTGTATGGTAGAGTTATCATTGAAAGAATTAAGAGTAAGACAGAGAAAAGGATAGCAGATGAACAAGGAGGCTTAGGAAAGGTAGGGGGTGTGTGGACCAGGTGTTTACAGTGAAACATATAATGAACAGTATTTAGATAAGGCCCAAAGAGGTCTTTGTGGCATTTATGGATTTGGAAAAGGGGTATGACAGGGTGGATAGGGGGCAATGTGGCAGATGTTGCAGGTGTATGGGTGTAGGAGGTAGGTTACTGAAAGCAGTGAAGAGTTTTACGAGGATAGTGAGGCTCAAGTTAGAGTATGTAGGAAAGGGAAATTATTTCCCAGTAAAAGTAGGCCTTAGACAAGGATGTGTCATGTCACCGGGGGTTGTTTAATATATTTATAGATGGGGTTGTAAGAGAAGTAAAAGCGAGGGTCTTGGCAAGAGGCATGGAGTTAAAAGATTAAAAAATCAAACATAAAATGGGAGTTGTCACAGTTGGTTTTTGCTGATGACACTGTGCTCTTGGGAGATTCTGAAGAGAAGTTGCAGAGATTGGTGGATGAATTTGGTAGGGTGTGTAAAAGAAGAAAATTAAAAGTGAATACAGGAAAGAGTAAGGTTATGAGGATAAAAAAAAAGATTAGGTGATGAAAGATTGGATATCAGATTGGAGGGGGAGAGTATGGAGGAGGTGAATGTTATTCAGATATTTGGGAGGGGGACGTGTCAGCGGATGGGTTTGAAAGATGAGGTGAATCATAGAATTGATGAGGGGAAAGGGTGAGTGGTGCACTTAGGAGTCTGTGGAGACAAAGAACTTTGTCCTTGGAGGCAAAGAGGGAATGGGATGAGAGTATAGTTTTACCAACGCTCTTTATGGGTGGAAGCATGGTGATGAATGTTGCGCGAGGAGAAGGCTGGAGGCAGTGGAGATGTCATGTCTGAGGGCAATGTGTGGTGTGAATATAATGCAGAGAATTCGTAGTTTGGAAGTTAGGAGGAGGTGGGGGGATTACCAAAACTGTTGTCCGAGGGCTGAGGAAGGGTTGTTGAGGTGGTTCGGGGCATGTAGAGAGAATGGAGCGAAACAGAGTGACTTCAAGAGGGGTATCAGTCTGTAGTGGAAGGAAGGCGGGTAGGGGTCGGCCTAGGAAAGGTTGGAGGGAGGGGGTAAAGGAGGTTTTGTGTGCGGGGGCTTGGACTTCCAGCAGGCATGCGTGAGCATGTTTGTTAGGAGTGAATGGAGACAAATGGTTTTTAATACTTGACGTGGTGTTGGAGTGTGAGCAAAGTAACATTTATGAAGGGGTTCAGGGAAACCGGCAGGCCGGACTTGAGTCTGGAGATAGGAAGTACAGTGTCTGCACTCT